CTGTAGGGGAGATTATTGAAGATACAGCAGAGGTCACGTAATCATAAATTTAGAGCTGGAAGGGACCTGAGGAACCAGCTAGTCAACACTCTCATTTTAAAGGAGAGGAAACTAATGCCCCAGGAGGCAATAAGTGATTTATCTAAGCTTGTACAGATAGTAAATGGGAGAGACAGGATTCCACCTTTGATGCTCTGATTATAAATCTCACATCCTTTCTACCATATCATGCTGCTTCCCACAGGGAGATGATGGGGTATGGTCACCTTATTCTAGAGCCGGGTTTCTTAAACATTTTCATAGTCTAGAAACTTTTGGCAGTCTGGTGATGCCTCTGGATGCCTTCTCTGAATAATGTTTTTAAAATGCATAAAATGAAATACATAGGATTATAAAAGAAAATAAAGGTTGGTGAAAATAAAGATTTAATTTTTCCCATCTAAGTTCACTGACACCCTAAAATCTATCCACAGACCCCTTGGGATCAGTGAACTTCAGGATAAGAATCCCTCATCTAGAAGGATGATGGGTCTGATCACCATCCCCCAGCAAGATAATGAATTTCCCCTCTCCTAGAGGAATGATGGAGATGTCTGCATGTACACACACTCACACATACACACACACACACACACACACACACACACAAAATAGAATGGTCTAAGTAGCCAGGGGTGAGGAACCTGTGGCCTTCTAGGTCCTTGGGTGAGGCCTTTTGACTGAGTCCAAGTTTTACAGAACAAATTCTTTTATTAAGAGGATTTGTTCTGTGAAGTTTGGATTCAGTCAAAGGGCCACACTTGAGGATGTAGAGGGCCACATGTGGCCTTGAGGTTGCAGGTTTCCCACCCCTGGAAGAGATGGATGAACCAGGTTGGGGTGGGACTGGGAAGGAGCAGGGCTAATCAGAATAGAGATGAGGATTCAGGACAAAGCAACAGGAATATGTAGTTTGCATATAAGGCAATGGATGACCTGGAGTAAGGCACTAGCACTGTGGGAATCAGTTTGGCATCACCCCACAGACCTCCAGTCCTGCTTACAGTCCAGCCCTCACAAGTATCATCCAATAAATTTACTCCTGTGAAAAGACATCAGCCATCACCACCAACTGTCAATCAACTGTCATGTACTGGGTCAGCAGGCCAGTCTAGCTGAACAGTAAAATACCCTTAGGAAGACACAGAAGTCAACACATGTCAGGTAAGCCAAACCACCACCACCACCACCACCACCACCACCTTAATCACTATCTTCCCTCAGACCCTCTGGGAGACAGCCCAAGACCCTGAATCCAAGAGCCTTTGGAATAGCTTCCAGCCCAGTGTCCACAAGTATCGACCTGGGAAACAGCTCCTTGGGGAACACAGCTCAGACAACTGCTCCCAGAGCTGCTGTAGTCACAGCTACCAAAGAGCCAGGAAAGAAAGTTGTCACCAAACTCCTTGGCTCTGTCAAGTGACTCAGCATCAGAATCTGATATGATTTTATTAATGGAAATGACATTTAGGAAGCGGTATTGTTATCACCTACTTTACTGATGCTCCCTAAGGAACGTGGGATTTTTCCATCTGACTTGCAGCTAAAACTTTCTCTAAGCGTTGTGTCCCCCATTAGAATGTAAACTCCTTGAGGGAAAGACTGCCTTACTTTTCTATTTGCGTTGTTAATGTATAGCACAGTGCTTTGCCATAGTAAGCCCTTAATAAATGCTCCCTCCATTCATTCATTCAACATGCAAAGTTTTGAGTGGATGTAGAATGATGGTATTTTAGGGGTGTCCCTGTGGGAAATCTTTGCCCAGGAAGACATATGCCCCCATTCATTGCCTAAAATTCTAGATCACAATTCTAGAACCAGAAAGAACCTTAGAGGCTGCTGAGCCCAACCTCCTCGTTTTGTGGACGTGGAAACTATAAAATCATCTATTTAGTGTTCAAAGCCCTCCATAAGCTTCCCCTACAGACACACATACCTTTCCAGTCTTTTTACACCTCATAAACATTCATCCACCCACAGACTCCTTGATCCAGCATGGCTGGCCTACTTGGCTGTTTCTTGAATGAGATGCTTCATCTCCTGACTCCTGACATTTTCAGAGTTACTGTCCCTCATGCCAGAAATACTCACCCTCCTTATCTCTGCCTCCTAACTTCCCTGGCTTCCTTCAAGTCTCAGCTAAAGTCTTACTTTCTATAGGAAGCCTTTCCCAATCTCTCTTAATGCCAGTGCCTTCCCTCTATTGATTATTTCCAATTTTTCCCACATATAGTTTGTACATAGTAGTCTATTTTCTCTCTCTTCACACCCCCCCCCATTAGATTGTGAGCTCTTTGAGAGCAAGTACTGTATTTTGCCTTTTCTTTTATCCCCAGGACTTAGTATTGTGCCTGGCACATAGTAGGCACTTAATGTTTGTTGACTGAATGACTGATCTAAGTTCTTGAGACAGATGGTAAGGCCTGGAGTTGGGGGTAAAAGACATCAATCTAAATCTCGTTACTGACACATCTGAATTCTACAGCTCCCTCCTATTCCAACCTCAAAAGGGGGACCTGTGATCACTGGGCTTGCTCCAAGGAAATGGAGAAACCAAGCAATCTATTTTCCAGTTAACCAAAAGATAGACATCCATGGTCTCAGTGAGCCCCAGGGCTAGAACAAGGGCTCAGGACTGCCCCTCCCCACAAAGCCAGCCTTAATTGGAGGGCTGTAAGGAGACATTCCCTAAAGCAACTTCAGCATTACATTTAGGGCTATGGAAAGCTCAGTCTGGGCTATATTGGAGCAACACACCAACTGATGAGGATGCTGTTGGCACCATTGTGGTCTTATAGACTCCTGGGACCGTCTCTGTAGCTCTGGCTCTAATCAGCCTTCACTGTTTCTCATAATTAGAATACCAATCAAAAGGCAGCAAGCAAGAAGGCACACATTGCTTATTACATGTTTATTACATGCATAATACTGTTAATTACACAGAGAATCTTGTTTATCACATGCAGGGTCCTTTCTTACAACTCCCGGGTTTCCCGTTCTGTTCCCCCCATGAGGATGAACACAGCCAAAGCCGCCCTGCTGTGTAGAGGCATTACAGTATCCTGGAAAGAGCATGGTCTATACCTTTTGACCCAGAGATACTACAGCTAGGCATATACCCCAGGGAGGTGAAGGACAAAAAGAAAGGTCCTGTATATATACAAAAATATTCATAGCAATACTTTTGTGGTAGCAAAGAACGACAAAGTGCCCATTGCCTGAAGAATGGGTAAAGAGACTGTGGCACATGAACATAAAGGAATAATATTGTGCCATAAGAAACAAGAAGTTTTGAGGAATTCAGAGAAACATGCAAAGTCTTGTATGAAATGATACAGAATCAAGTAATCAGAACCAGAAAAACAATGTACACAATGATAACATAAAAGGAAATAGTAATATAACAAAATGGAATGCTGTATAATTATAATGACTAAAATTGGCTCCAGAGAAGAAATAATGAGGCAATTTACCTCCTTCCTTTCATTAGAGAAGGGAGGGAATAGTGTTGGGGAATGTCACAGATACTGTCAGATGCCTATAATATGTCAGTTAAATCATAGGATCAGAGATTTAGAGCTGAAGGGACCTTAGAGGCCATCTAGTTCAAGCTCTATTTTGCAGATGAGGAAACTGAGGCACAGAGAAGTTGTGTCTTTCAACTAGTATCTGAAGTGAAATTTGAACTCTGGTCCTCTTGAACCATTACACTTCGAGTTCCTTGAGGGCGAGGGCTGTCTTTTTGCCTCTTTTTCTATCCCCAGCGCTTAGCATAGTGCCTGGCACATAGTAGGCACTTAATAAACATTTATTGACTGAGTGACTTCAAGACCAGTGTCTAATACACTATGCCATGCTAGGGAAAGGAAGGCAGGAAGGGAGGGAGGGAAGAAGGAAGGAGAGGGAAGGAAAGGAGAAGGAGGGAAGGAGGGAGGGAGGGAAGGAAGGAAAGAAGGAAGGAAGGAAGGAAGGAAGGAAGGAAGGAAGGAAGGAAGGAAGGAAGGAAGGAAGGCACTGGTCTTTAAAGTTAGGATTCCTGGGTTCATATTCTGGTTTTACCACTTGACAGTGTCGTAACATGTAAATCATTTCACCTTCCTGAGTTTTGGTTTCCTCATCTGTAAAATGGGGATAATAATACTACATAAGCTCACAAGCATTGCTGTGAGAAAAGTGCTTCGTAAACCTTAAAGCTCAATAGATATGGGAGCTCTTATTCTTGTTACCACGGAGCTACTGCCATATTAGGAGGTGGCCAATCACTCCCTAAGTTATTGTTACTTTGGTTAAATCCCCCAGGGTGACACATGCCGTGTCCTCCCAAAGAAGGGCTGGGGCTATCACTATTTTTTTAGTTGTTTATCTGGAGGTTTTTCTGCTTCCCAAATATACATTCTGGAACAGAGGCTTGCAGTTTTTGTAATACAGAAAGGATGATGGGAATGAAATAATCTGTCATTAATCCAATAGTTCAGCTATAGGGAAAAAGTGTTGGCAGCTTCACCAACTGTGGATTCACATTTAGGGCTATTGAAAGCCCAAAGTGAATTTTATTGGAGCACCACGCCAACTGATGAGGATGCTGTTGGCACCATAGTAGTCTCATGGAGCTCCTAGGACCGTCTCTGTAGCTCTGGCTCCAATCAGCCCTCACCACACCCACGCTCTTCCCAATGGCACAGCATTATAAACTTATTTTCTTATTTTGCTCCATTTCTAACACATTCTAGTCATCAGTAACCCAGAAATTGGCCCCCAGAGACACCACAGAGAATCATAAAGCTGAAGAGACAGACATTAATCTGCAGAGAATGAGAGAAAAACATCATCACATAGCACAAGCAGTTCTGTTCCTTCCCAGCCCTTCTCCCTCCTATCACGGAAATAAAGGCAAGGCCATGGCTCCTGATGGCCTGGATCAACCTGATGAATTTCAAAGTCCAACTCAGACCTAAGGGAGGTCTATTCTTCACCCATCACATTTATTCAGAGAGAAATCCTCATTGGCGATCGGAATCAGAGAACAGTGAGTACACGGTACACAGTACCGCTGGCTGCCTTTCTGGCCACAGATTTAAGAGCAAGAAAAACACGGAAGCCACGGGGAGCAGTTCAGGGTGTGTAGAGAGTTGCAGCTAACAAATATTAAAGCATTTAGTCTCCCTTCCTGGAGGTATCCAGTCCATCCCAGAAGAGAACAGAATTCTTCATTCTTTGCAGGAATTTAGTAGGCACAGCGATACCTCTAGAGGTCCCTTCCCTGACTGGTCCTCAGTTTCCTCATCTTTAAAATACGGGTGTTGAACGAGATGGTTTCTGAAGGTTCCCACCCACCTCAACTCAGTCAATCACCTGGCATGTGCCAAGCACCCTGGTGTGGGGTCTTCTGTGCATTAGATTTCTCTTCTTTTAAAGTAAATCATCACTGAGAAATCATCACCATTTCCCCCCTTACATCGCTGAGGAAAGAACACTGAATATATATGACCCAAGCATAAAAATATTATAAGAGCCCTTCTATGTCTTGCCAGTAAGGATGGACAACATTACTGGTGCACCTGGACACCATGTAAGCCACAGGTCAGTCACAGAAGTCTTTAGTGTGTAATAGGTAAGGGGCATACCCTGTGAATGAAAAGGGGCCCAGAAATCAGAAGCACGGGCTCTTTTCCCATGCACTAAAAGGGTTTGCTGAAAGTAGCTGTAACAAAGCATCAGCAAACACAAAACACCGACAGCTCTAGGGCTGAGCATTTAGGAAAAATGTTTGTGCTCCTGGAGAGTGTGCTCAGGGCTCCCAGGGGCATTCAGACTCTCGGTTTGTTGTGCCCTGCTGGCTGCTGCTCATTTCAGGAAAGTCTCATAACATGGAATCAGGGCAACAGCAAAGGCACTCCTTCTTCTCATGGCTGATCCAGCCCTGAGCACGGTGGATGACTGGAAGCCTGGGCCAAAGGGAGCAAGTGCCAGCAGCTCCCGAGGGCCAACACAAAGGCCGGCTAGAACTGTCCCAGAGCTAGCTGGGCTTTGGCACATCCTCATGATCATTCCCCGGGGGAACTCTGCCACCTCATTCAATTAGGCTCCAGCCCTTCCATCTAGGTTCTCCCCCAAGATCCCAAAGGAGACAGAACAGGGGAACACAGAAATAGAATGTCAGAGTTAGAAAGAACCTTGGAGATCATCAAGTTCATCTGCTCTCATTTTACATATGAGGAGGGATTGGTAAAGGTGAGGAATGGGCCTGGTCTGTGGATGCATCATCGGGCATCCTGGACCAGCTAGGCCCAGGAAACAGCATCATAGGCAGCGCATGGGAAGACACCCAGCACCATTACAAGCACTTTTCTATCCTGAGACATCTGATTTTTCTCTCCATCCCCTGAAAGGTAAAAAATAAATAACCAAATCCTCCATAAGGATTTCTGTGAGATCATGGCCATCCACGTGTCCTCATGTTTATACATCCCCATGAGTGTGCCTGGATGGGTGTCAGTGTGTGTGTTTCCATGTCTGTGTGATTGTGTGAATGTCTTAGTGGGTCTCTGTACGTCTACGTGTGTGTACTTGTATTTGTGTGTGTGTGTTTTCATAAGTGGAGTTTTAGCCTGAGGGCCAGACGCCCTGCATAGGCTGTTTCCTCCCCATTGCCCCTCTGCTCACCATACCAGGAAGGCATATTTTTGGTCCAGCTGTGACCAACCACAGAAACAGCCCTTATTTTGAGTCTGTTTCCACGGGGACTTCCTCCCCTGGTTTTGGAGCTCTGCCCCTGGCAGAGCCGCTCTGAGACCACAGCCTCTCAGGGTCACAGTCACAAAGCCATCCCGGCGGTAGCCAGCCCCACAGCTGATCCTTTTGCCCAGCACTGAGTCTGAGGAGAGCTCCACTACAGAGCTGTTACCTGCGTGAGTTCTGTGTTGGGTGTGGATGGACTTTGGGGGCTGGTGGGCATTATGGGGAGTTCCACGCCTAGTCATGCGGGCCTGGGTACGGTTTCTGAAGTCTTGCAGGCAAATGCCACATCCTTGGCAATGCTCCGCACGCGGTCAGACACCTGCAGCTCCCGGCGTAGGGAGGATGCGCAGCAGAACTTACGAAAACAGGCCTTGAAGTTCTCATCCAGGAAAGCGTAGAGGATGGGGTTCAGGCCACTGTTGGCGTAGCCCAGGACGATGCAGAAGTGCAGGACCGCCACCGCAGCTCTACTGGCAGGCTCGACTCCCTGGCTCTGAGCCAGGACAAACACCTGAATAGGGGTCCAGCACCCCACAAATACAGCCACTACCACTAGAACGAGCCGAGTGATACGCCGCAGGTTGCGGTCCTTCTCCCTTGAGCCGGAGAGTACTCGGACACTGCGAAGCCGCCGGATCATGAGGCTATAGCAGGCTGAGATGATGAGGACAGGAATCACAAAAGAGAAGAGGAACACACAGATCCCAAACACGGAGCGCCAATAATTCTCAGGGGTGGGGTACTCCAGCAGGCACTCGATCTCTGTCAAGAGAAAGAAAACAAGCATGAGGACCAGCCCAGCCACAGCTTCCCCACCGGCCCCAGCACTGGGCCCATCACTTGAGGGAGGGTCTCAGTTAGAGCTGGGTCACCAGAACTGTCCCAGCCCTCCAAATATCCCCACTCTCATTCTAGGTCCTGTCTAAATCTCCACTCCACCACCACCACCACCACCCGTACAAGGGAATGTAAGGGCTCCGTCCACCATCTCTCAAAGGGACCTTGGGTCTAGCCACTCGCCCACAGAAGAATGCAGGATCTAGATGGGTCTGGCTGCCTCCGTGTCATAAGATCATATAGAGCGTAAGTGACCTTAGAAGTCATCTGGTCCACCTCCTTCATTCAACAGGAGAAGAAACTGAGACCCAGAGATGTTAAATGACATTTGGGATGGCAAATTTCAAACTGGAACGGATCCTAGAAGCCATTGAGTATAACTCCCTTTCATTTTGCAGACCAAAAAAGACAAAAAACAAAAAACTGAGACACAGAAAGGCTAATTGATTTGCCCTGAGTCATATGGGTAGTGAGTGTCTGAGGCAGGACTTGAACCTTTCCTACTATAAGTCCAATGCCCCATTCATTACACCATGATGGCAGTAAGCAGTAGAGGTAAGATTCAAACCCAGGTCCTCTGACTACAAATTGAGCACAATTTGCACGGTGCCATGCTTCTTCCTACAGTGAGAAAATGCATCTGGATGGGTATGATCAATTTCCTCTAAAGCAGAAATTCTTAACCTGGAAAGGGGCCCATTGTAATTGGATGAGAAAGAAATTACATCTTTATTTTTACTAACGTCTAACTGAAATTTAGCATTTCCTTCAAGTATTAATTTAAAAAAAAAAAGCATTATTCTAAGAAAGGGTACATAAGCTTTACCAGACTGTCAGTATAGCCATGATTCAAAAGAATGTTAAGAGCCCCTGCTCTAGAGGCATGAGGGGTCTAGTCTCTTTTCCCCAGAAGGATATAGACTCTGCATGGGTCTGTCTTTTCCCCAGAGAGATGATAGCTCTAGCACCCTTCCCCAGAGAAATGATGAGTTTGCCCTTAAAGGATTGATGGTCTGCCCACCACTATCTCATACATGTGCACTAACCATCATCATCATCCATCTGGGCTGAGCCCATGACTGTGACAGGAACACCAATGAGAGAAGCCAGTGCCCAGATGCCAACATTGACAGCCTTGGCTTTGTTGGGTGTGCGAATGTCCAGGGCCCGGACCGGGTGGCAGATGGCAATGTAGCGGTCCACACTCATGGCAGTCAGGGTGAAAGTGCTGGTGAACATGTTGTAGTAGTCGATGGCAATGACCGTCTTGCACAGCACATTTCCAAATGGCCAGTAGCCCAAGAAGACATCAGTGCCTTGGAAAGGCAGAGTCAATAGGACCAGGGCATCTGCCAGTGCCAAGTTAAAGATGTAAATATTTGTAGCTGTCTTCATCTTTGTGTGTCTATGGTGGGAGCAGAAGAGAGACAGAGAAAGGGGGAAAAATTAAATTCATGATAATGATCATTGGACTTTTCAGACTCCCTTAGAGACAACAAGGGGTTGTGGTAGGTGGAGGAGGGAGTGGATAACAATAGCCTCAGGGGTTGACCACTCAACCTGCCCCCAAAGAAGGGACCCAGCCCATTCAGGAGACCCAGCAAGTTCAGGCCTAAATGTTCCCATTACAATCTGTCCTCCAAAGTGAAGAATCCTGTACATGTATGTGATTCAGAGGGATATGCTCTGATGTTTGAAACCTAAGTAGATGACCAATTATCCCCATCCCTCAATACCCTTTCTAGACCCTAACAACAACCCTGTGACTTCCAGAGACTTAAGCTTCCAAGGTCACTTGGATGATTGGTATAACACTTTCCATCTTGGCCCAGAATGGTCATCAATGTTTGGTGATGGCAGCATTGGTGATGTTGACAGCAGAGATGATGATTGTGATGATGGTGATACAGGTGATGATTCAGGCAATGAAAGCGATAGAGACAACAACTGTGATAGATGAATAAGAGTGTCAGAGATGACAATTGTTTTAGGTGGCAATATGATGGTGGCAGTGGTGGTGATGTCAGTGGTAGTAATGGCAGCTATAGTGATGGTGGTAGCCATGGTGATGGCAGCAAGAATGTTGGTGATAGCATTAGTGGAGATGGAGATAGCAGTGAAGATGGTAGTTATGGTGATGGTAATGGCAAAGATAATTGGGGTAGTAATCCTGATGGGGATGGGGTGGCAGGCAGTGAGGAATATCAACTGAGTGTCCTTTGCTATCTCAGCTTTACACTCCTGGGCAGGTTGTCAGTATGCTTTCCTGGCCCTCTCAATTCCCGTGCATTGATGTCTCCGGAGAGCTTTTCACCTTTCCTGTCTATTTAAATCCAGGATGTAGGTTTGGGTTTTTTCCCATCCCAACACTGAAGGAGGATGAAAAAGATAAAAATAGCAGCCTTATTCTGTAAAATGCTTCACTGTGGATCCCTTTCCCAGGAGGGCTCCAGGCTGACCTGTCCAAATGATGTCATCAGGGAAGGACATCTAGGACAGGTGGGGTCCACACTGGTGGTTGTAAAGCAAAGTTGGCATTGGAGCACTGGATTTGGGGTCAGAGGACATGGGTTCAAATTTCAGCCCTACCATTGTGACATCAGGCAGGTCACTTTGCCTTTTAGGCTTCAGATTCCTTTTCTGTAAAATGATGATATATGACCCTTCTAGCTCTACAACTATCTATGTTCTAATAATCAATCTAGACTAAACTCAGCGTTGCACAAGATTTCAGAGATCAGGTAGTTGATCTAATCACAAGTTAGAGATTAGAATGAATACCAGGCACCTGATCCACTGTACTGCACTGCTCGTCATCATCATCAGTCATCACAACTCCTACCTCTGTAGTACTTTTACAGTTAAGATACTTTCCCCACCAACTACTGTTATCCTCATTTTATATATTATTTACTTACCTGTTACATATTACTCACCTATGGCTGAGTAAGGGTGAGTGCCCTGCCCAAGATAAATATAACTAGTATTGGAGGTAGGATTTGAACTCAGATCTGACTCTATAGGTCTAACACTCTTTAATACATCCCTTTTGTTTGCACCTATGATACTGCACCAAAGGTCCCAAGATGCCTTCTTGAGGAAGACAAGACAATAATGTCAGCTCTCTGATTATCTATGCCCTCTGTCCCTTCAACAATCTAATCTCCTCAGTGCTGCCTGCACATTTTTGCTCACATTGTCCTCACAATAAAAACATTCTCCTCTATCCTTTCTATAATCTACCCTATCCTATCCATCCTTCAAGGCCTAGATCAAAGCACAGTTCACTAAGCAATACACATGGTGGCCCTGTTTCCTGTGTATCCATTGACTTCCATGAGTGTGTGTGTGTGTGTGTGTGTGTGTGTATATATTATATGTATATATGTGTATATATAATATGTATACATAATATATATATATGTATATACCCTATTACCTATCTCATCTACAGTGGTAAACATAAGACTAGGCACATAGGTGGGCTCAATAAATCTGTGTTGAATTAAACTGTCTTGATGAAAAATTAGAGATGGGCCAGAGGAGGAATGACAACAGAGGAGGTTTTTTTTTTTGGAGGGGGGGAAGGGAGTAGGACCCAAGCTCTAGAGCTCCCCAATACTGGGCTCCAGGGTCTGGCCTTAGGAGAGGACACCATCCATTTCCACCGTGTGATGGAGCATGGCTGGCCCTAGACATGAGGCTGACATGAGGCTGCCCTCCCCACCAGGGCACTGATCCCTCTAACTAGGCAGGACTCAGGTGACCCAAGACTTGCTGAAGCCTCAACCCCACAGGCATGCCTTCCAGCCAGGTCCTCAGACAGTGTCCTGCCCCCTCAGGGATCACAGTGACCAGTTTTCTCAGAGGACCTCAGATCCAGACCTCCTTTCGCATTCTGTTCCTAAGTCCAAGTGCCAGAGACTTGGGTCACAGGTTTTTCTCCTTCCCCCCAGGGGGTCAGCAGGGCAGATTATACCAAAGATATGTTCTGGTCCCTAGAGCTCTAGAGCCCTGCCCATTCATCACTTGCAAGTGCCATCAAGAGTAGCAGGAAACTGGCAATAGCCATAGCCTCCCTATCTGCAGCTGTCCAGATCAGCAGGGTACTAGGAGGTGTCAAAGTAGGGACAGAGGCACATCTGATTATGACATGTTAATGAGGACCCAGCACCCACCTACCTGATGATGACATACATGACAAGGCAGTTCCCCAGTAGACCCCCTATAAACACAGCCAGGTAGACCACCACGATGGTGACCCTGAGGCCAATGGGCAGAAAGATGTCCTGGGTCACATTGATCCAGTGAGGAGGCACTCCGCTTCCATTTGGGAAGGAGAAGTTGTTGAACAGCCGGTTTCCATAGAAATCCTCCCACAATGAGGCCAGGAAGAGGGGTTCCATGGTGCTCTCTACCCACTTGCCTGACACTGGCCCTGAGAAACCAAGGAAAGAAAGAAATGTGACTAGCGCCAGACCTTCCCCTGCAAACCACCTCTCCGAGCCCCACCCCCAACACAGACACACTCCTTCCTCACTTCTCCACCAGGCTACCTAACAACAGTGAGACAGGTGACACGCTTACACACACATACACACTGACAGGCATGTGTGGACACAGATACATACAGAGGGACACTTGGCTACAACGTGGCAGACACGCAGGCGCTGGAGAGACATACATACACAGAAACGCACACACAGTAACTGCTCATTGGGAAGGATTCTAGCCTACTGTAGACACTGCTGGGAATGTACCCCTCCTGAGGCACCCACCCCTGCATTCCTATCTTCCTGAAGTCCACCCCCGCCTCCGCCCACTCTACACACAGAGAGAAGAAATCCCGATCCTGTTTGTCCCTAGTGCCTCAGGACACACTAAGAACATCTCCGAGCTACCCCACACCGCGGCCAAGCCCCGATTCTGCGACACCCAGAGCCACCCGGCCGCCCGGCTGCCCCCAACTTCTCACCCTGGGAGCAAACCCCCAGTGGACTCAGATCCAGAAACGCCCTTCCCCCAGAACAGGCAAACGTAAGTCAAGAGCCAAAGCCAAAAAAAAAAAAAAAGAGTGGGGGGCGGGGAGGGAAAGACAGCTTTAGGAAAGGATGGGGAACGAATGACAGGCAGGTAAGAGGAATGGGGAGGAGGAGGGGACGGGGGTCCAGAGGTAGGGCTGGGGGAAGATTGTCCCGCTTGGGGAGGGTTCCCCCTTCCCTCGAAGCCAGAGCTTTCTCCCATCCGGCTGGGCCAATTCCCGGCGCTGCCGCTCTGCAGACGTCTCAGACAGCTCCTAGCCAACTGCACCCGTGGAGAAGAAGAGAGGAAAGGAGGGGAGAGGAAGAGAGGAGTGGAGAAGAGGGGAGGGGAGAGAAGGGAGGAGAGGAAAGGAGCAGAAGGGGAAGGGAGGGGGCAGGCGCAGAAGGTTTACCGGAGAACTGGACCAGGAGGAGGAGGGGCGATTCGGGCAGGTTCGGGAAAGGCAAGAAGGGAGCGGCGGAACTGGAGATGTCTGAGCCTAGGATTTTACTAACTCTAAGAGCACCTACAGACGCACACGCACTCACTCACACGCACACACACACACACACACACACACACACACACACACACACTGATATAAGTCGAACACACAGACATCCACCCTGGGCCAGGTCCCTACGGAGGTCCTAGATGGAAGCCTATTTTCCCAGGATTATCCAAACAGACACTATTAAGCGTCCAGATAGAAAGGAGAATGTGACCCAAAGTGGGATAGGGGAGAGGATATCACTGTGACCATTTTACAATCTATGTAAATTTGCTTATGTGTGTGAACATGCATCTCTGTCAGTGAGCAAGCCTGAGTGTGTCTACAGGTCTTTTGTGCCTTTGGCATTAGAAAAGAAACAGAATAGGATAGAGGGAAAAGCTCTGGATTAGGAGTTAAATCCCAGCTCTGTCATTGACTAGCAGAAATGTGACTGGGTGAATCCTCCCACCTTCCTGAGCCTGTTTCCTTCTCTGTAAAATGAGGGAGTAGGATTAGGTATCTCCCATGCCATGCTTTCCCCCTGAAGAGACAGGTGGTTGTCTAGCCTCAGCTTGAAGTACTCAAGTGAAGGGGGCCCATTACCTACCGGCATTACCTACCTACATTGGGACAGCAATTTGCTTCTCTAAAGCTCCCATCTACTGCTCCTAATTCTGCCTGTGGTACCAAACAGAACACATCTAATCCCTCTTCCCTGTCACAGCCCTTCAAATACCCGAAAACGGCAATCCTGCCTCCTTTAAGTTTTCTCTAAGTTAAACATTTCCAATTCCTTCAACTGACCCTTGTGTGACATAGTCTCAAGGTCCTTAACTGTACTTGTCCAGAAGTGAACATGATGTTCCAGAGATGGTGTAACCAAAGCAAAGTGAGACTCTCACTTCCCTCATTCTGGACACAATGCCTCTCCTAAAATTTCATTATTCATTAGCTTTTGGAGCTGCCATGTATAGCCATTAACCACTACTGAGTTTGCACTCCGCTCAAACCCATGAATCTTTTTCATAGAACTGCCAGGTAGGATGCAGTTGCTCAGTTGGACTCCCTGGGTTTGCTCCTCTCCAAAGCTTGACTATTGATGACAGTATTTCTGTCTTGAATCCATACTAAGCTTTCTTCTCTGCTTACAGAATTCATAGTCTCTGAAGCTGTTTACTACCTAAAACGCTGTTCTTCTCTATGATTTTGTCTCTGCGACTTTTTTTAAGTGTGCGTCCCTATTCAAGAGGCAGCTGATGATGCAGCGGATGGAGCATGGGGTCTGAAGTCAAGAAGACTTAAATTCAAATCCATTCTCCAGACACTTACTAGCCATGTGACCCTGGGCAAGTCACTTAACCTCTGTTTGCCTCAGTTTCCTCAACCATAAAATGGGAGTAATAATAGCAATAGGGTTTTTAGTGGACTGCAAACTCAATGTCACAGGTTAGCAGGGCTCCATAAGGATAAGCTCATCACTTCTAAACTCACTACCATACAGCTAACCCAAGCCCTGATGCATGCCTCCTCTTCTCTGTTTAGAGGACTAGAGGTGAAGTATAAAACTCCTCCCTATGCCTTCCTTCATAAAGAAGAGACTGCACTCTCAACTCATTCCATTTTGCATCTGCTACTCTGCCTGGTTTCAGCTCCGTGGAACAAGATGTCCCCAGGCTAGGTCCTGGTGTCCAGTCCCTCCCACACCCTGGCTTTTCTGCCTCCTTTTGTGTGTTGTCTCCCTCTTATCAATTGTAAGCTTCCTGAGGGCAGGGCCTACCTTTCTTTTATTAATTATATCATTTATTATATTTGTATATAATTGTATATATTATATAATATAAACAATTATTTATTAATTGTATTCCCAGCACTTAGCATAGCATCTGGTACATAGTAATCACTTAATACATGTTTATTGGATTGGATTGGATCGGATATGGTAAAGAGGAAAGGGGTGTGTGATTCTTCTGCATAGGGAAGGGAAGGAAGCAGATGGTTGCAAAGTCATATTTAGAAGCAGAGAAGATGGAAGGTAGGAAGCTCATATTGAATAGTTTCCATCATCTCAATAAGGGAGGAGTCAAGATTATTTAACAAAAGTGGGGGGGGCGGCACTTGATTTTGAAATAGCCTTTGAGGGGAGCTTCCCAAGAACTTCCAGAAAGATGCCATCATCTTTGGGGGACCACAAGGGAGTCAGATGCTCCTGGCCAAGAAGAAGATAATGGCCAAGAAGTGGATGTAGCCAGAAAAACTTCAAGGGAATAAGATAGAATATTCATTTGGAAGCCTCCCCTGGCTTCTACCCCAGTTAGGCTGAGTAGAAATCTTTTATACTGATCCCTTTCTTAAAATGTATTGTTTTTAAACTAACACTTTCTTGTGTCTTGCTTAAGCCCAGTGTGACTTGAATATGGTAAAGAAAGAGGAACAAATGCCTAAATTGGGCTTCCAATGATGGAGTGGGGAGGTAAGGGATCAAGGATTAAGCATGACCATTTCCCAACACAGGGATCCCATCGGACTCAGTGGTATAAAAGGTCAAAGAGGCTTAGTGTTTCCAGCCAAGGCTAAAAGATAAAGATAAGTGGATTTTTTTTAATAAGGAAAGGAGAAAACCTTGGGCCAAAAACAAGGCCCCCATAGTTCTAAGAAGAGACTGCTGTCCAGGAAACTGATATTTTCTAGTTAGGCCTAAGGCCCAGAGTGTGAACCTTTATACCACCACCCACCCCAGGTCCAGAAAAGAAGTAAAAATGTGAGTGTGCAAGAGAGCCACTCCCTCCTTCTCTTCTCCTAGAACTAAACCCGGACCAAAGGAGGAAATTCTGTTGCCTCATTACTGGATTAATCTCTTAACACACACACACACACACACACACACACACACTTGTGCTTTTGTGCTTCTTAAACCAATCTAAAGGTCCATGAAGGCTCTCTGATGTTCCCTAACCTTTCACTTTCACTGGTGGATGCATAAACCCCAGTATCTACCACCAGACTTCTTTCCCTTTTTCTCCTTTCAAAATACAAGTACAAAACTCAGTTCAGGCACCACCTCTTCCTTGAAGCCTTATTCCCATCCATTAAATATGATCTTTCCTTCCTCAGATTTTGCCAGAGCACTTTGTCTGGCGTTTCCTTTGCATCCGTCAGACTCCCCACCTTATAATTTCTGTTCTTATTCCTCTTATGTGGGTTCAGAACATAAGTGTCTGACTCTGGTTCCTACTCCCCAGGGAATCCCAATTATAAATTCCTTCATGGTAGGGATTGTCCTTTCTTAATCATTGTATCCCCAGGACCTATCACAAAACTTTATACATAGGAAGTGCTTAATAAATTTGTGCTAAATAAATAAATGAAAATGCATTTTTCAGGATATTTATTTAAAGGAAAAAGAATAAATTTACAAATAATACAATAACCATATGCAATCTGAATGTATAGAAAGTTAACAGAGGGTCCCTTTCACTCACTATTTACATTGCTCTATAAATGCTAGAGCCACAGCATCAAGACAAGAGAAAGAAATTAAAGATATAAGCACTGGCAAAGAAGAGGCCAAATTATTCTCTGTGAAGATGACACAATGACTTACTTAGAAAACCCCAGAGAATCAGTGAAGTTAATTAAGATGATTAATTCAATTATAGTCTTTGATATTGTTGTTGTTCAGTTGTGTCCAACTCTCTGCAACCCCTTTGTTGGGGTTTTCTTGGCAAAGATACTAGAGTGATTTGCCATTTCCTTCTCTAGCTCATTTTACAGGTGAGGAAACTGAAGCAAACAGAGTTAAGTGACTTGCCCAGGGTCACACAGCTAGTAAGTGTCTAAGTGTCATATTATTGGAACTTATGAAATCAGGATAGTATAGATAGTATCAGGATACAAGATAAATCAACAAATTATCAGCATTATTACTATAAATCAACAATTATTAAGCAATTATTATAAATCAAATTATCAGCAGTATTCTATACAATACTAACAAAATCTAGAAGAAGATAATAGAGAAATTTCATTCCAAATAGCTACAAAATGTATAAAATCTGGTAGTTAACTTACCAATATACACTCAAGACTTTTCTGAATACAACTATAAGACACTGGAGGAAAGAATGAAGTAATTGGAGAATAGTCATTGTTTACAGTTAGACCTCAAACATAAAATAATCATGATACTACCTAAATCAATTTATAAATATAGTGCTATACTAATCAGACTACCAAGGGGTTACCTTGTTGAACAAGACAAAATAATAACAAAATTCATTTGGCACAGGTTGAAAAGTATAGAATCTCAAAGGAAATAAAGAAAAGCAGGAACAATGGAAGCAAAATATTACTACTGTTGTTGTTTGTCCTTCATTTTTTTTTTGTTTTTTGGGTTTTTTGGCCTTCATTTTTGAAGAGAACAAATGACATCATGGGCTGATATCTTGATTCATGTGTATATTGGATTCGAGTGAGGCAGAGTTGCACAAAGTCGTCAGCCTCACTCTTTCTTCCAAAATCGCTGACGTCCAGTGGCAAGACAAAAGTCAAGATGACTGGCAATAGTCCGGGATGCAGTGGGTGACGTTGGCATCTTCGATGCCTGACCAAGCTCTAAGCACTCCATAGCACCTGCTCCAGCCGCCTTCATGGCCACTGGAACAAATTGTTCTTATTCACTCATTCCACTGGGGGAAGTCTTCACATGCTTGGGGTAGACACCTCCCCCCAACTCACCAAAGGGTTTGAGCCCCATCAGTTACCTTCAACTTGGTGTAGCCTATCTGCCAAGACAGTTTACCAGAGTGTAGCCACTGGGAATGCTACAACTTTTTGGATCCATAGGTGAGAGCTGAGAGCCAGGTAGATGCTACAGGTGGATGAGCAACTCTGAAAAGGGCTCAGCAAACCCTTACACCAGAGGTGCTAGTCCTCCCTGAATTAGTATAACTAGATCTCAAACAATACTGTAAAGTAACCATCAAAATCATTTAGAAC